TATATACATATGTACTATGTATTTATATGTATATAAACAAAAGTTTACATATTTTATACATACATATAGTTATCATTAACTGAGAGTGAGTTAAAGCTTTTCCAAAAAAAAAAAATATTTTAACACATTCACATCTGCAATTATGGTGAATTTTGATATCTTGAAATAATATAAAAAAATAAATAAATTAGCACCTCTACAACTACCTTCTGTAAAGTCTTTTTTTTTTAATAAAAATATTAAATTTATTAATTTATTAAATTAATGAAATTATTATAATTTAATTAAATTATTATAATTTAATGAAATTATTATAATTTAATGAAATTATTATAATTATTAATTTATTAAATTAATGAAATTATATTAAATTAATGAAAATAACAGAACATAAAGTTTTAAGAATCATTTAAAAAGAAATGAAAATATTGAGTGATAAATAAAACAAATATATTTATTTATGCTTTATATGATTTATTTTTTAAAAAAATTTCAAGTTTTTAATTGTTGATGCCTAATTTTTTATTTTATTTAAAATAAAAGTCATTCATTGCGCATCTTTTTTATAATTTTTTTTTAGATAAACTACAGTAAAAACTTATTTTAAAATTTTACGATTAAGTAAACATTTTTTTTAAAAAGAAAATTATTTTACACATAAAATATATTTTTTTATTTTAGTGCTGTTTACCAGTACAAACTGTAATGATGTTATGAACAAATTCTCCTGAGAAATAATATTTATGCTTTCTTATACATTTTTTACAAATTTATTATGAAAATTTATCAAGTAAATTTATTATACATTTTAAATATATTTACAGAAAAGACTGTACTGGTGATGCATCAGAGGTGGCCATTTTAAAATTTATTCAAAACACTGTTGGAGATGTTATGAGCATACGTTCAAAACATAAAAAACTTGCAGAGGTTCCTTTTAACTCAACTACAAAATATCAAGTGTCTGTTCATGAGATAGAAAATATCAGTGTAACTTCTAATGGACCATCCTATTTTGCTGTTATGAAAGGTGCACCTGAGAGAATCTTGGAGAGATGTTCAACTGTTCTAATTGATGGAGAGGAAAAACCAATTGATGAAGACTTTATAGATATGTTTAACAAGGCTTATGCATCTCTCGGTTTGTAAATAATTTTTTTTTATGAAGTTTTTTTAACAGCTTTAAGGTTGTTAACAGTTCTTAAATACTTGTGTTTAAGAAGAATTTTTTGAACTTATTTAAAATTTATTTATTTTGAAACTATTTGATTTTTTTTTATTGCTATCTTAAAAATCTAGAAAATAAGTGCTAAAGAATGGTTTTTAAAGTCAGAACTACAAACTTTAGGTAATGTTTTCATTATGGTAAAAATATGGTCACTTTCATTGAAGGACTGATTAAAATAACAAAAGGTTAAGGCAATTCATTGAAAAATTGTTGGTGTCAATAAGATATTTATAGCCATAAGTTAATCCACCTGTTATGGATGGTGTATGTTGTAATTGTAGATGTTGTTACGTTGCCTATTTGTTCTTAAATATGTCTTGGTTGCTATCATTACGGTTCGGTTATGCTAAACTAATTTTAGTTCATTTGTTCAGCCGCTGAGGAAATCCTAATTTTTATCTCAAACTATTAATGAGGACTGATTTATATTTCTGTCTGTCTATTTCTACTTCGTCCAATTCTTTGTTATACCTTCTTCTTCCTCTTCTTTTATTACTTTTTTTTGCAACCATTAAGCTTCTTTTTTTATTATTTTGAAACCATTAGACACTTTAGCACTTGAGTTATACTTAATGGTTTTATTGTTCATTAATAGCATAACGCTTTACATTTGGGTGAACCACTTGTTTATATCCAAATTACTTATTTATTATTTTACTTGTTTATTTTTCATTATTTAATACTTGTTAATTATTGGTAATATTTGTTTATTATTTATTAATTGTTTATATCCAAACACTTTATGCTAGGGTTTTTATTCAATGCGTTATACTTGAGCTAGCCATCTTTGTAATACACTTATACCCATTTACTCTGATAAAAAAAAAGTTATTAATTGCTGCAAAAAAAATTATTTGGCATTAGACAGATAAACAGATGAACAGGTTTATAGAAGACAATATTCACTAAATGTTCAAACAAATATTTAATTACCTTAAATGTAAATCATATTGCTTTGTCAACATTAAGATTAGGTATAAGTAACTAAGCAACTAAACAATCTCAGAATGTCAGGTATTAAGCTAAGCAACAGTGAATTTTTCTTTTAAGTACTTAATAATAAACAAGAAGTTAAAATACAAGTCTGTACCATTAATAAAAATTCTATACCATTAATAAGTTATTAATACCAATTACCATTAATACTTAATATTAATACCATTACCAATAACTAATACTAATTACCATTAAGAAAAAGTTTTTTCCATTGATAAATATTTTAAATTTTATTTTTGTGTTTTGCCAGGAAAAGTCTAAAAATAAGTTTGTACAATGTCATTAGACATGTTGATTTGGAGTTCTAAAAACAAGGTTGAAAAAGTGCACAAGCACAGAATAATTCTCTCACAATTTACTTTACTATCACCTAGCATTATGAGAGGCTTCACATTTTGGTTCAAAAACCATATAATAAACTTCAAACTTTCAAACTTTTGTGCTATAATTTTGATCAATAAAATAAGAAGGTGGAAAAAAATCTTTGATCAGATTCAAATCAAAGACTTTTTTTACTAATTTTACAAATTTGATCACTTGGTTTTGAGCCTCAATGATACCTCATACTTGATTCTTCACTGCATTTAGTTTGTAAAACATTATGACAATGACATTTAAAGATTTTTTTAATTTACTGTTGTTGCTTAGAGTTCTTTTTTTTATTAGCTTGCATCTTTTTAGTTTTGTTTTCCTTAATTGTTGAAACCTTTTCCAATATTTTATCCTCCATTGAGCGTGGTAGCTCTAAACTTTTGTTGGTGTTACTTTGGTAAAAAGAAACAAGGTAGGCATTTCTTTTAGTGTTAAAGATTTATCATACATTGTTTGCTAAGCTTTTATAATGCTCTATGTTTTTATATTTACAAGGTTGCTGAGCCATAGTGAACATGTAAATTGTTACTACTATTGATGATTGATGATTTTTGTTATTTTCATTAAACATAATTTGACTATAGTTTTGAGTGAGTGCAAGAATTTATCTCCTTGCACTCACTCAAAACTGAGATCTATACTTTAGATGCCAATTTTTTTACTTGCCTTTTTGTTGGCTCTGAGAAAACAATATTTTTTATAAGTTTATCTGCTATTTTGTTAATATTTTTACATTTTCTGTGCAGTTAAAAGCACAATTTATAAATACAGCTTTTTGTCTCTTTTTTGTGATGTCTTTTTGATCAATTGCATAGTAAAATTTAAAAGAATTTGAATTTTTTTATATAAAATGTTTGTTGTGGTTATATGCATGTGATACAACATCAATGAAAATTTTTTCAGAGTTGCTTTCTTAATTCTAAACTATTCAACATTTAATTAAACTTTGCATCTAAATAAACTATTCAACATTTGTTTAAACTTTGCATCTAAATAAACTATTCAACATTTGTTTAAACTTTGCTTAATTGTTTAGTTTTTTATTGTAATAAATTTTTTTTATTGTTTTGATTCAAACAGTTAATAAGAAATAGATTTTATTTCCTACTCATGTGTATATGTTATCTGTTATTGTTCTTGATATAATGGGCTGAGGACTCTTCGTCATCTTCAGTATAAATTGAACAATATTCTTTCACTCTTTCCAGATTTGGTAATATGTATAAAGTATAAATAATAAGTGACCCAAAACATTAAAAAAAAAATTATGCTGAAATTCATGATCAAAAAAGCAAACTTGGCAACAGAATTACTTGTTATTTAATCTGGCATTCTGAGGTCTATAAAGAAAAAACGTATATCCTAAATATAAAGACATACCATAAGAATATAGCTGAAGTCTTTTTTAACCTTTTTGGCAAGTAGGAGTAATTTGTCAACTCATAAAAGTAAAAAAATGTCTGAGAAAATATTTTGACTTAAAAATTTGATGTTTCTAGTTTGATAAAGCAAAACAATATTACAGTTTATTGAGTTTATCTAAAAATAATCACTAGGGCTTCAATGTTGGTATGAATGCTCAGAGAAGAGACAGGTTCATAAGGGCTACAATGGCATATAAAGAACTGATACTGTGAAGGGCAACGACAGCATATAGAGAACTAATGCTGTGTGCCAATCAAAAATAGATTTGCTAATTATTTTTTTAAATAAATTTCTGAAATCATGTAAATAACATCTTAAACTCAAAAATTTAAACAAAAATATAAAATTTAAAAAGTCAAATAATAAAATAGACAGATAATATTATTATATATATATAGCAAAAAATTGTATCTACTGAAGATCTATTCTGTTCATTTTTATTTTAATACATCATCATCATTCACATTTTATAAATACTTGGCAGTAAAATAGATATACATACAGAAAAAAGGTTGGCATTTATTAAAAATTATTTTTAGGCGGTTTTGGAGAGCGTGTATTGGGGTTTTGTCAATATTACTTTCCTCTTGACCAATATCCTAATGGGTTTGCATTTAACTCAGAGGATCCTAACTTTCAACAGGATAGATATTGTTTTATTGGTTTAATGAGCATGCTGGATCCACCAAGACCTTCAGTACCAGATGCTGTGAGTAAATGCAGAAGTGCTGGTGAGTATTCTAATGTGTTATTTAAATATAATTTTATATAATATAAATTTTTAGATGCTTTATTTTAACTCTTAACTAATTTTTCTCCTTTTTTTATTTTAATTTCCTTTTTGTTCATTAGTTAATAAGCATTATTTGTTTCATTTTTATGACAAATTTGGTTTCAATTTATTTATTTATTTTAAATTAGAGCATGTAAAAGTTAAATATATTTTTTAATAATTTAATTTTTATAGCTTGTGATTAGATAAGTTAAATTGTAAACAGTACAAAAATAGATGGTTTTAATTTTATCTTTTCTGCAAATTGTTTTTTACTTATACGCAAAGAAAATATAAATTGCCTAACTATAGTATCATTAAATGATCTGAACTAAAGCCTAACAATCTGTTCAAGCTTACACATGTTTAGTTGTGATATTTAATATAAAGTTTCATAAAAAGAAATTGAAATGCAATAAGTGAATTAAACAAAGCTACTTTTTCTAAAAAAAAAAACAACTGGTAAATTTATTTATGAGATCTAGTAGCTTTCTTTTTTTTGCTTTTGTAAGCAAGCGGTACAAATATCTTTTAGTCCTTAGTAATATTATAGTCAACTTTTACTTTGTACTCAGATTCATTTTTTTTTTTTGCACTGTAAAATCTTTGCACATAAAACTTATTTGATGAGAACTATGTTTTTACAGGGATCCCAAACTCCCAACACATGTTGTGTTCATATTAAAGATAATGTTAAAAAAAAAGGTTTGAACCAATTTTTTTTGATTAAAAATAAATAATGAATGCCGAGAAAAACAAATGTTGAAAAATGAATACCGAGAAAAACAAATGTTGTTGTTTTTGCCGAAGCTCCTCTTCTCCATTTTTTTCAACTAATCGGAGTCTAATTATGCGTCGCAATCTACAGACTTTGGCAATTCCTTTGAAGCGCGTTTAATTCATAAAAGTTTTAGTATTTGACGTCAAGGTAGACTTTTAACAAAAGAAACTCTGGAAATATTTTTATTTATTTTTAGTCGAAGTTTTTTTGGTTATTTGTTTAGTTTTTTTTTTTTTTCTACTTTTAATATTTAAAAAGATATTAAAAACCTTAAATATTTTATGCTGGTTCGTTGCTATAAATTGTTATTGCGCCATATATTTAATGTTTATAAATTATGAATATTTATTATCTCAAAAATTGTTTTACATTAATTACCCGTATAAAATTAGTAACAGCTTTTTTATTTGGTTAGACAATATTTCGTTTCAATTTGCTTTGCATAAAGTTCGGAAAGTCAAACGAAAAAAATTAGTTTGAATAATCACGTCGAAATATATTTAAAACAAATTATTTTAATGACGGGGGTTCTAAAGTTTTTTATAACAAATGTAGGTAAAAAAATAAATAACTAAATAAAAAGTTCAGTATTAAACACCATTTCTTTATTATATTGCAACTGTAAATATTGAATTATTAACTTGAACTAAATTTACTTAATTTATCTAAATAATAATTTAGAACGACTAAGCAATAAAAATAAAATGCCTCTAAAATTATGCGAGATTGTGTTGTTTATTTGATAACAGTTGTTGGTAATGTTGTTTATGTTGATTATTTTCATAAATATCAAAATAGTTCCAGATTAATCTGTTCGTTGCTTTGCTCATTGTTGATTTATTTCTAATTTAATTTTATCTCAAACTATAATTATATATTAAAAAATAAAAGTTTTTATTTCATCGGGCGCTCTTTTTATAAAAGAGTAGAACAAAAGAGAAAGAAACGCTTCGCGCAATTAAACTTTGAATGAGTAAGAGTTGTATAGAATATATATATTTTTTTGCTTCACTGATTCTTTTTTTAGATGAGAGAAATAAAAGTTTAATAGTAAATTTTCTTTGAATAAGTGAGAATTGGAAGAGAAAATTGCTTGAAAATTTGTATTTGTTAATTGTGTTTTTAAAAATTTTTAATTTTTCATGTTAAGAGACAAATGCCAATTACGACACAAATTTGGAAATACCAAATATAATATGTTTTTTAATGCGTGTTATGACATTTTAACAATTTAAATTACCATCTATCTTGAATTATTGCCTTTAATTAATGTGTTAATTATTGCGTTATTTAATAATAATTTGTCCGTATTTTGGTTAAATATTAGTTTATAAAATATTGAACAGTAAACTTATAATCAAGATTTATAATACCGACTTGTGTTGCAATTAATTGTACTTTTAATGCAAAATCAGGATCTCAATGAACGAATTTTCATATCTGATACTACTGTCAAGTGTTAAAAAAAAAGGACAAAAATACACTAAACTATTGTTTAGTGTATTCTTGAATTTTTTTTCATAATCTTAACAGGTTCTAATTGGTATGGAGTTGCTGACATTTTAAAAATTTCATTATCAAAAATCAAATGTAAAATAAAATGGTATTTCCTTTTTATCCGTATCCAATTCAGCAAATTTAGCAATTTAAATTAAATCAGCGTGATCAAAAAAATTTTATAATAAAAAAAGTTAACAATTCATTAAATATCTCTAATTAATACTGCTAGTTTATGAAAGTAATTGTTAATAAATACTTTTTTTCAACGGGAAAACAAAAAATTGTCATAGCGTAAAAATAACCAGAGAAGTTAGAAAATAGTTCCCATTGTTTAAATAAAAATAATTAAGAATCAGAATATATAATACTGCGCTCTCTTGCGCTAAAACAAGAGACCCTATATAATGTAAAATACTCGTATGAAAATCATGAGATTGGTAAGTAAAGCTTCAATATTTGTTTTAATTTAAATAATTAAAGAAATATAAGTAAGATATATAAATCTGAAAATTATTAAGTTATCTGTAAAAAATAAGTTGCTCCTATAAAATAAAAATAATTTATTGTTTTTACTTTTTACAAAATTTTTTTTGCGATGTTAAGAAAAATAATACAAATAAATTTGTTTTGCTGTATGTTAAAAAAATACTACAGTAGAAAAATGCAGCTTAGTTTATTTACACTTTTCTTTTGTTAAAAGTCTATCGTGACGTCAAATACTAAAATTTTTATGAATTAAACGCGCTTCAAAGGAATTGCCAAAGTCTGTAGATTGCGACGCATAATTTCTAGACTCCGATTAGTTGAAAAAAATGGAGAAGACGAGCTTCGGCAAAAACAACAACATTTGTTTTTCTCGGTATGCATTCATTATTTATTTTTAATCAAAAAAATTTGGTTCAAACCTTTTTTTTTAACATTATCTTTAATTTGAACACAACATGTGTTGGGAGTTTGGGATCCCTTTAAATTATAGGGTTGTAAAACGAAAATATTATAAGAAAGTATTATAAAAATATCTTGTTGATATAGTGATGTTTTTGGCCTAATGAGTATTTTATTTACGAAAATTGCTTAAATAAAATTTAAATTGATTTAATGCATTTTTTTTTTTTTTCGTATAACTACAGTATCGGACAAAACAAGTGCAACCAAATAATGCTAATTTAGTTTCTTTATATAAGTGCTGCATTTTTTCTATTTAGAGAAATAACTATGCAACTGTTTAGAGACAACGTTCTTCAAGTTTTATTCATCACAAAGTTCATTATTTGTACACGAAAATTAATAAATTAATCACAAATAATAAAAAAAGTTTTTTTGATTTCCTTTTGGACAAAACAAGTGCAACTCCACAAAATGTTGACCAAGCTGTATTTCGCTATCAATAATTCGTTGTGAATCCTTTGTTGCTGATCACAGCCTTGCATCTTCAAGGCATAGATTTGATCAGGTGATCAATGAAACTTTGTGGAATCGCTGTCCAGGCCTTTTGGATTTGTTCAAACAGTTGATCCTTATTACCAATACCTTCACGATTAGTTCTGTGGTTGACGATCTTCCACAGGTTTTCGATAGGGTTGAGATCTGGAGATTGAGGCAGCCAATCCATCACCGATAGGTTGTCTTGAAACCACTGCTTGACTACTTTTGCAGTGTGTTTCGGATCGTTGTCTTGCTGAAAAATCCATTTTATTGGCATATTCCATTCAGCATGAGGTAACATAACATCTTTTCATCTATACATGAAACGGTCCATTATTCCATTGTTTCAATGTATTGGACCTAGACCATTAGCAGAAAAACACCCCTGGGCCATTACATTGCCTCCACCATGCTTCACGGTCTTATGGCAGTAATGTAAATTAAGGCGTTTTCCGGCCATACACAGCAAATGCCATTGCTCCTAATGATGTTGAACTTCGATTCATCACTGAACAGGACAGTTCGCCATTTCTGCACATTCCAGTCAATATGAGATGTAGCAAACAGGAGTCTTTTCTTCTGGTTCATTAATGAATACAGTGGTTTCTTTGCAGGGCGTCGAGAAAACAATCCGGCTTCAACAGCATGTTGTCTGATTGTTCGGTCCGATACAGGCAGCTCTAATTGCTTTAGTATCTCAACTGATGATATCCAGCGATCCTTCTTGACAGATCTGACAATCATAGAATCCTCTCTAGAAGTGGTGGAACGTGGTCTTCCACCTTTGTTATCTGCTGCCAACTTCCCCGTAGAACGATATTTGGAACATAGTCTTGATACGGTCTATTTTTTCATGCAAAATTTATCACAAATTTTTTTTGTGACATTCCACTTCTGTAATTGCCAATAATTTTCTTTCTTAGTTCCAATCCAAGACTGTCGGGAGCTATTTTCACACTTGAAGTCATAAAAATGATAAAAATAAATAATCGGGCTTCTCAAGGCTTACCGTGTTACATTTACATTGTGATGATACAAAAATGCTCTGTGGAACACAGTTTTGGTTGGATGTGGACTGTATTGATGTAATGAAACACTTGTTGTATTTCACTTCTTGTATTGATGTTCTTTGATAAAACACTTTGATAAAACTCACTTTGATAAACTGTCTTGATAATACTGACTGATTGACTTCCATATACTGACTGAATTACATGTCGGTTTACATGTTTCTTATATAGTAAAATGAACCTGTGTGAACCTGTTCTGGAAGATTCTAGATGCTTCTTTTTGATGCTTCTGGATGCGTCTAGATGCTTCTGAATGTTTTTGGATACTTCTGGATGCTTCCAGATGCATCTTCTGGAAACTTCTGGAAGCTTCTGCATGCATCTGGAAACTTCTGGAAACTTCTGGATACTTCCTTTAATTAGTAAAAAACTTCCGTGACGTTGACACGAACCAGACTTAAGAAAATGAAACAAACCAAAAAAGTTGCACTAGTTTTGTCCACTGCAAAATGACACTTGTCAACGAAATTCTGCCTGTGTGCTGTCATCTGTCAGTTGATTGCTCATGTCATGGCATGCTATGACTAAATGCTAGTATTAATAACTGCAACAATAACATTAATAACTGCAGCAATAACATTAATAACTGTAACAATAACATTAATAACTGTAATAATAACATTAATAACTGTAACAATAAAAAGTGGCTTAATTTAGGAATTAAAGTCATCATGGTAACAGGCGACCATCCCATTACAGCCAAAGCTATAGCTAAAAGTGTTGGAATCATATCTGAAGGAACTGATACTGTTGAAGACATGGCACAGAGGTTGAATATACCCATTGAAGAAGTCAGAAAAGATCAAGTGAAAGCGTGTGTAGTAAGTGGTGGTAGGCATTTTTTTATGTACTTTTTTTTTATACTACAATTTATTATTCAATCAATTAGTAGTTTTTCCCAAAATTATAGGTTGTTTTTCCTGTTTTTATTGCTGTTTGTTTCCATTTTTATAGGCACACAAATAATTTATTCAAAATTTTTTAAGATAATATGTAAACATTAAAAGATAGGCAAGTTAGGTTGATAATAACTATAAAAGTCTTTTTTGCGAAAACCATCCCCATTAAAACTAACAAATGTATACAAAGATCTAAGGTACCAACTGCTTGTCAGGTGCTTTAATATTTCTTTTTAACACAAAAACTAATAGAGAAACGACAAATAAACAGTTTACTCAGTTTTACCATTTTATAAATAAGCAAGATTACAAATATTAAATCAAATAAAAAGGCAGAAGAAATCATGATTTGATGAATTAAAAAGTTTACTGAAAATTGACCGTACCCATTGAAAGACTTACAAAAATACTCAAAAAGTTATTGTGTTTAGAGACAAGCTTACAAAAACAATGAAATTCTGGCCACAAGATTTTCCAGCTAAATTGGTTGATTCAGAGGAAAAACAATTATGGGCTCAGTTAACCTTAGACTAGGAATGCGAAGTCAGAGTCCGGAGTCCAGGAGTTCCTATTTACACCTGGAGTCCGCAGTCCCGTCTGTTATAAAAATTATTGGAACTCTAGATTTTTCTAGTTTTATATCAGCATATGAACATTTCCTAACTAACTCTTATTAACTTTTATAAGTTTATTAATTTAAATTTGTTTAGCCTACAGTTATGTAACTAAAAACTAGTAAAAGCATGAGCTTATTGAATAATGCTGCATATGGCAAGCCTTTTGGCATATTAATCATTAACAAAGGTGCAGCGTGTTTATGCCATACATCGCCTATAGCATCTACACTTGTAGTTAATAAGTTCCTTAAATAAAGTATATTAGTATAAATACCCTCAACCTAAAGGAAATAGTTATTTCTTGAGCAAAAAAATGAAATCAAAAATAAATTATAATTTTTTAGAATATAATTGAAACTTTGTATAGCCTACTCGAGCATTTCAGGGTTTATTTCATCTTCTGGTTAGTTGACTCATAACAGTTTTAAAAAAAAAATTTGGAGTTTACCTTTTCCAAATTACTTTTGAACAAATATTCATCAATTTATGACCCAGGAATATTGGGTTACAAAAAATTCATAACCCTAGTGTTCCTAAACAAAAAGTGCTTGTAATAGCAGTTGTAAAGTTGCTTGTAAATAGATATAGGTAAATAGTAGCCATGTATGTTATAGAATATTTATTTTTTGTTTAAAATTTTTTAGCTCAGTTAAAAGACATGAGTCAAACAGAACTTGATGAAGTTTTGAAAAATCATACTGAGATTGTTTTTGCTCGAACATCTCCTCAGCAAAAATTAATTATTGTTGAAGGTTGTCAACGTCTTGGTGCCATTGTCGCTGTTACTGGTGATGGTGTAAATGATTCACCTGCTTTAAAAAAGGCAGATATTGGTAAATTTTTTTTACAACTTTTTTATTACTACATAAGTTCAAAGTTCAAAATCTATATTATATAATTGAGAGTTAATGCAAGGTGTTTGCAAATGATAAATGTGTCTATCTAACAGTTGATAGCAAGAAGAAAAAAAAAGAAAGAGTAGGAAAGAGATTATTTGAATAAAAAGAGAAAGTTTATCAGTATAAAAGAAGATAAAGGTTTTCAAATAAAAGCCAAAAAGAAAACTTCTAATCTTTTGTCTGAAAAAAATTACAAATTATAAATTAAAAGTTATAAATTATTCAATAAATAATTAACAAATTAAATTAAGTGATAAGAATTAAATGCTGCAGAATACATCTGCTTACAGATTTAAAAAAAAAAAAAGAAACAAAAAGTAACAATGAAGTTCAGATTTAGAAAAAGAACTTTTAGTTATTTACCATACAAAAAAAAAAGTAATGAAGTTTAAGAACCATTTAATGTTTTAATCATTTACACATATGTTTGAAATTTAGCTTATTCAATTTCTTTCCTTTTTACGTATCTATTTTGTATTATTAATTATTTTATTGTTAGCTTTATCATTGTATATTTTATTATTGAGCGTTTTTCATATTTATAGTATTTTTAATATTTATGTTGTTATTACTATTGCTTTTTTTGTGATAGTTATTATTATTATTGTTGTTATTATTATCTCTTATTATTATTATATTATCAATATTTTTATCATAAACTTCATCATTGTTATATTATCATATAGTTACTGCTATTTTTATATTGTTTCTGTTGTAATAATCTTATTAATATCAATATTTCTAAACTAATTTATATTTTTATGTTTAAACTTGCAAAATCTGTGATAAAAATATTCGTGCTAATCATCTTTCACTTCAATGCAACCACTGCTTAAGTTCAATCCATAAGAAATATAGATCTTTGAATAATATTTACTTTAGTTTATCAAAAAACTCTTCCATTACTTTTTGGATCTGTATTACATGCTGCAACAGTATTTTTTCTTTTAGTTCTATATTGGATAATAAACTTTCATCTTCAACAACAACAACAACAACAACAACAACAACAAGTTATTTATTTTCCTATAATAACAATAATATAATAATAATTATAATAAAAAGAATAAGAATATCTATAATATTATAAATAATAAAATCAGAATATATTTATTAAGAATAAATATAAATAATTGATTGAGGAAGGAGTCACTCATGCAGAATCCTGTTCAAAGGAGTGACACCTAATAATTATATTAATAATATTAGTTGAAAAAATAATAATAATAACAATAATAACTTTATTCATTAATAAAGCAAAAGTAACAGCAAAAATAATAGTTTTTATAATAATAGTAATAATAAAACAGCAGTAATGAAAGTAATAAATATTAATGACAAAAACAATAAAGTTTCTATAGAAATGTTAAAAAAAAAAAAAGAAGAAAACTAAAGGAAGTTAATAATAATAAAAAAAAAAAAATTTTTTTTTTAGAATTTGTTTAAATTTATTTTGTTTTAAATAAAGAAATAAAGATAAATTATTTTGAATTTTTAACTTTTCAAACTCATTCACAATGCACACAAGACTTTGTGTGCATTGTGAATGAGTTTGAAAAGTTAAAAAATTTCATTCACTGATGCACTGATGTGTAATTTAATACTTACAATACCTCAAAGTTTTATAGTGAGGTACATTTAGTTTTCCATTATTGATGTTTCCAGTTAAATGTGAATGTATAAATCGAGTTGCAGAGAAGAAGGTTGTAATAGAGGAAGGTAAATTTTTATTAAGGGAGTTAAAAACAAAAAGAATAGATTAGCTAATATAACTAGTGCTGAGAAGGTAGGAATTTAAGTTTTTTGAAGAAGTTTGAAGTTTCTGTATTATGGAGTTAAAAATGTATTATTTGGATTGATTGGCACTGAGCTGATAACAATTTATTAATATTACAGCTGCCAATTTGTCCCCACACTTGACAATAAAAGTTGAGAAAAATTGCAAAATACAGATTCTTAAGGGTAGTTTTATCAACATAATGGCGAATTATTGAAAGCATACCATTAGCTTGATTAAGTTTTTTATGGAGTGCTTGTATATTCCCTAATATTTTTAAAAACTGCATCTGTTAAACCAATCCATGAAAAAGACTCAAAACTTGACTGCAAGAACTATAGACCAATATCAATGTAAGCATATTTCTTGAAAAACAAATGTATTTTCCTATCTACCACTTTCTTGATAACTGTAAGTGTTTCTATGGCCGCCAGTTAAGGTTTCTTTTAAAACACTCTACTTCCCATGCTCTTATTAGCATTACTGAAATGATTCATGGTGCAATAGATAGTGGTTCTTTTGCTTGTGGCGTCTTTATTGATTTCCAAAAAGCTCTTGATACAGTTGACCACAAGATTTTGTTTAAAAAACTATATCACTATTGTTACATGGTATATGTTATATTGTATACAGGGTATATTCAAATACATACTCAGTTTAGCCCAATTAAAAGGTTTCAATCCACAAATAAAGTTATTAAGTATGGTGTCCCACAGGGTTTTAGGTCCTTTACTGTTTTAAATACATTTTAATGGTCTGTCTCACTCTATAAATAATTCTATTGTTAATCATTTCACTGACGACATTAATCTTTTATGCCTTAATAAATCACTTGTGCAATTTTGTAAAAAAGTTAATTCAGATCTCCATCAATTAATTCAGATCTATTCATTTGTGTCAGTTAAATGGTAAACATATTATTCTAAATAAAATTTTTTGCAGGTTAAAATAAAATTTTTTGGAGGTTGAAAAAAATAAACTGAAGTTATTTTTTTCAACCTCCAAAAAAAAAGATTGATAATGAAAATGTGAAAATTAATATTAAGGGTAAAAGACTTTTCCTTTCTAAATATATATCTTAGGGTATTTTTTGATAAAAACCTATCATGGTACTATTAACTAATTCAATTAAATAAAAAACTCTCACATGCAAATAGTATGTTGTTATTAGTACAACACTGTATTCCCCAACATATTAGTTTACTATTCCTTGTTCTCCTCTTATCTAAACTGTTGTTAAATTGTTTGGGAACAAAAAGAAAGTTTCCTATCAAATCGTATAAACAGTTTACAACGTACTTTCATAAAAATTATGACATTTTCTCCTTTACCATCTAATATGCAAAATAGGTTTTCTGAATTAAAGTTCTAAAATTTCAAGATCTTGTGAAGCTTTATAACTGTCTTTTTATGTTTGATTTTTTTCAAAATAAGCTACCAAATTTGTTTATTAATTTTTTTATTCAAACATGTGATACACATAAATATTATACTTGAAATACTGAAAATGTTAATTCGCACACTTTCTTTTTCAATATTGTCAAATATGGTAAGCTCTATATAAAACATCAATGTATTATAGATTCTCATTTGAACCAATTAATACCATTTATAAGAAAAAAAGATTTTGAATAAATACCCTTTTATTACCAACATCCTTCTTCTCAATTAAAACCAAATTAAGAAATTACTAAAACTATTATTTTTTTATTTTATAAAATTTTTTCAAACTTTATTACTGTTGTTATTATATCTTTGTTTTAGATGTTTTATTAATATTATTTATAATGACAGTGGTAAGTGATTGTAATGATAGTGTCATAGTAATAACTTTTTAGTTACTGTCATAATTGTTATGTTTATTTTATAATTACTATAATTAATTGTGGTTAATTTTTATTATTCTTTATTTAAAAGGTATTGCAATGGGTATAGCTGGATCAGATGTGTCAAAACAAGCTGCTGATATGATCCTACTTGATGATAACTTTTCTTCAATTGTCACTGGTGTTGAAGAAGGACGTTTAATATTTGATAATTTAAAGAAAGCAATTGTCTACAGTTTAACCTGTAACATTCCAGAATTAACTCCATTCATCTTTTTTATCATACTAAATATTCCTCTGCCACTTGGAACCATTCCGATGTTACTGATCTGTGTAGGTACTGATATTGCTCCTGCTATCTCATTGGCTTATGAACCTCCAGAAAATGATATTATGGAGCGTAAACCAAGAGATCCTAAATGTGACAACCTTGTGAATGCTCGTCTTATTTGTCAATCTTATGCTGTCAGAGGTGTAATTGAGGTATTTTTTAAAACTGTTTTGTTAAAAATATCCTTAAATACAATATTTACTGGATTTAATTGAATTTAAGCCGGGTTAAATTATTAAGAAGCATACATACTAGAGAAGTTAATAACTTCCTGCTTGTGCAAAAGTGGTAATTTTTTATTACTATCTAGTTCACCTACAACAAATGTTGTCACCATGTTATAATACAAATGGCCTTTCCTCTAGACAATAAAGCAGCACCAGGTCTTGTCTGTATCACCCCCAGCCAGAATTCATGATAACTGTATATAGCAGACCCAGAGAAATGGCTGGGTGCATATGAAAGCCCTTGATGTCAGAATATAAAATTTGAAATCCAACTATTTTGTCTCCGAAAATAAAAGGAGTTTTTATTAATATTATATTACAGCAACTAGACAAATGACAGCATAACTATTTTTTGCATTTTTACAGTATACAAAAAAATTTAAGTGAGTGATAATTTTATTATTGCATCACTAAAACATTGTTTTTTTTTGTTTTTATGACTTTGCAAAAAGAGCATACCTGTATTTCTTACATAAAATGATTTTTTTTATTATTGGTGTTAAAATTACAGAAAAGGACTATTCTCAATACATCAAAACAAAAAGCCACTCATTTTTACGATTTTGGAATCATTTGGTCTTTCAAAATGCCCAATCAAACTAAAACTCACAAAGATTGCCGGAAATCTGTGTGTTTCTTGTGCTTGAAAAAAAACATAAGGACAATTTTACTATCAGTGGTACAGGAAATTTCAAGCTTATTTGAACAAAAGATTAACTTTAAAGATGAACGAACGCCAAATGGGATTTGTGAAGGATGTTGTTCAATACTGTGCATAAAACTTGATGGAAAAGAGCTAAGACTCTATGACTTTGAAACCATCAGTGTCAGGCGACCTGCGAGTGGACTGATCTGTGATTGCATTATATGTCAAGTTGGGCATCTGAAGCTAATTGAATCCCATCCTCTTGAAAAAGTCAGAAAAATGACAGCATGTAAAGAGAAAGCTGTGAATAAAAATTCAACCTCTGGCCACAGGTGTTCCAAATGCCTCTCGGTTCTGGGGAAAAGAATTTCTCATGTATGCACTAAAGCTAAGTTTTGTAAAAATATGAGACTTTTGGCATCAAAAGACAGCACAGTTGCTCAACAAATTGCAGCTTCTGCAATACCTGGCACAGCTGCTTTCCCTCAAGGAACAATTTTTCTGGCTCAAGCATAAGGTGGACAACCTTTATTTGTCACCCCAGGTAAAAATGACTTTATTGTAGCATAATTAAATGTATTCAATTCTATTAGTTTCCAATGCCAAAAATGTGGTTATATCTTGAGAAAAATTAATTACTTTAATAGTGACAACTTGTAAAATTTAAATAAAATTGCCAAAATAATTACATAAAGGTCCTTCAAGTGCA